CAAATGCATCTCAGAATAGTTAAAATAACACATTCAACCTCATCTGTGGCATTTCAGAATGGTAACTCAGTTTTGATTATTAGTTTATAATCAAGATAAGCTTATTGTGATAGATCATTGTTATGCTTTAAGAGCTTCCCAGAACATTTTATCTAAATCAAAATTATGAATTTATCCATTCCACTCAAAGCTTTCTCAGCACAGGTGATCCACCTTTTCGTCAGATGGTAGGCTTCAAACAAAACTGGCAAAATCTCTGAATCATTTTTGTCTAGTACCTACCTATATGGTAACTACTTACAATTTTTTAACCTTATGAAAATTATAAGTATCTATGTAGTATTTCCCTTTATTGTAGCTGTTAAAATATTGAAAGCCTAGAATCAATGAATCAATATATACTGTCAGAAGGAAGGCATGTTGAGCAAGGTACTTGGGGGTATAATAAAGTATGGCACTGCCCATGTGCTCCAGGAGCCTACAGATTCGATGGGGATATCTGAGAGAAACCACGTGATAATCCACATAAAGGGTTCAGACAATTCATTTTACAAGTAGAGCCACAGTGTTCCAAACAACAAGTGGCCTTAGAGTTCTATACATAACCAAGCTCACAAAGATTCTAACTTCCTTAGAGAAAGAATCTTTTCCTCTATGTCCCCTGGTTCAGTCTACAGTTTACAGTGTGTGCTTAACAAATGTTGTTGACTGACAGAAAATCATGCTTCCTCTTTATCTCTAGGCCCCTATCAATCTGGTCTCTACACTGTAGTCAGTGACATTTGTGAAATGTAAATTTGATAATGATACCCTCCTCCTTACCTTCCACACTAAACTCCCTCCATTGCTTTTTCATCATTTTACATTTCATCATTTTACAATAAAGATTAAAATCCTTGACATGGGCTAGAAGGCCCTACATGACCTGGCACTACTCCTCTCTCTAAGAGCTCCATACTCAAGGGCCTTCCCTCCGTTGTTTGAATGTGCCATGCCATCTCCTGCCCCAGGCTTCTGACCTAATATTTCTCCTCTGCCTTTACCTGGCTAATTCCTTCTCAACTCTCAGATTTTAGTTTAAATATCACCCCTAAGGAAAAATTTTTTTTTATTAGGTCTGTTCACACTACTTTAAAGTTCTCAAAGTACCATATACCTGTCCTTCAAAATACATACCATCATTTAAAGTTTTCATTTATTTATTTTTTAATTACTGTGCCTCTGCAAAGAAATGTGAGGCTTCTACCTTCCTATTAAGGTAGGAACTATTTCTGAGAGCTTACTCACAATTGTATTGCTTGGGCCTATGATTCAGGCACATACAAAGCACTTAGTCAGTATTTGTTGAACAAAGAAAGGAATGAATGAATAAATGAGTGAGTGAATATGGCTGTCCGTCTGGCCACATCAGTGAAGTCATAGAAAGCAGAGGCTTTATTAAATGATATCTATCACACTGTCATGTTTAGTGATATTAAGCAATCAGCCATCATAAGCCATATGTGTTTCTGGCTACTTAAATAAAGGAATAAAATTGATACTCAGAGTCTAGTATGAAATTTTCATATAAGGGACCCTAAAATGCATAAAACCTGGACCTGGAAATCGTAAAACATATAACTTAAATTCTCACTGATCAGCGTTTTATTCTCATTTTTAACTGGGCAGCCATAGAATTCACTAATTCTTTTAAGCTGCTAAGAAATTATTAGTCTCCTTAAGTAGAAACTTATTAAATAATAATGGTCCCAGGGCACTTAGATGGGTATGATTCACTGAAAAAGCTATGTGCCCTATAAGCATCCATCATTCGGGAATGGTGACATTCTTGTATAGTGACGTCTGAGGCTGACTCTCAGGGACAAAACACGTAAGTTAGTTCTGTTCCATCAGCCATATATATATATTTTTTTGTTTTGAATAATCCCTGAATCTGAAAAAATATCAAACCTAATAAACTGGAAATCTTATTCAGCAGACATGATAAGTACAGGGCTTGAGAATAAGGGTGTTGGCGCTCTTACCCAGGCTCTGTTACTAAACTGATCATGACACATAACTGTCCTTGTGTTCTCTTTACATCACCACATAAATAAATAAATAAAACTTGCTAGGCCTGCCTGAACAAATAGAGCAAGGATGAACATGAGCTCATTAAATGAAAATATTCTAGAAATCCATAGATGTATAAGTTGTTTAAAGACATTCTAGAAAAAAAGAATATTTTATTTTTAATAATTCTTACTGTATTTTGAATACAAAGGCAACTAAAATAATATTAGACTTTTTCATTAAGTTAAAAAAAAATTATAGTTGGGACCAGATATAATTTGAATATTGTTTAATGTTTGCTGTTAATTTTTTTCCAAATTTTCCCTAATGAGTATGGATTTATTTGTTTTTAAATTATTATTATTTCTTTAATGTGGCAATCAGTGCAAATACTGGCTACAGGCAGGGCTTTGTTTATACTTCATCTGAATAGAAATCATCTATCCATAGCCATCAATACATGATTGGTGTTGGGAGAGGCAGCCATTCTCAATTAATTATTTAATAGTCACTTGACACACATGAAACAGGGAAAATAAGCAAAATGGAGCCAATCCTTCTGGGGAGACCACTCTGCCTTTATCACTCCATCTCCCATTTCTGTGATAATCAAAGGAACCCAGCCTTTTGTTTTCCTTTCATGACTAGTGGTGATCTTTGCACTCCGTTTTCATTTCAAATTTTCAAAATGAATCAATGCTCCAGAACTATCCTGATGGATTTTCTTTTCTGGGTTGAATTACCTTATGCATCAGGTAGTATACTGTTCAATTATATATCTAATTCCAAATTCTTCATCTCATGGAAAGAGCTATCCACTTGCAAAATGCATTTCAGAGCTATCTAATTCTGCTTCTCTTCAAAATATTACTTCTGCCATGCTTTCTCCACTCTTAACTGTTCCTGATTATGCACATCCCTGGATTCCTACGTTAAAAATGCACAGAAAAATAAAAATTTTCATTTAAAACACCCTCCCACACAGAACAAGCTGTCATTGTGTCATATTTGTTTCCTAATTTAAGGAAGGAAGTTACATCTCATGTGTTCTTCGTTAAATTGCCGGCTCTGTATTTTAAAGCGGCACTGGGATACTTAGAGCAATTTGTCCCATAAAATAATGTCCATTTTTTTAATAATGTCCATTTTTAATTCATTTCTATTTATCAGTGCAGAGGTATGCAACTTCAAATTATACTATAGCAAACCATCAAATACAGCTATCTTATTCATGGTTTACAATTAAGTTAGATTTGGTAGAGAAAAAGTATGTACTGTTTTATTCTTGGAAAACATAACTATAAAGCCTGATGCTAAATCCATGGAAATTTACTGATCAACCTGAAGTGCAGTATAGGCCATGGAATACACAGTCTTCTATAATTACTTAAGACAAGATACATGAAAACAAAAACCTTCGTGAAGGCAGAAAGCAATGAAATAATGTTTTACTTTTTTTCCATTAGCCCATGAAGGCTACAGAACTCTCCTAATGACCAGATTTTTTTTTCTTCCTAACTCCCTTTGCTGTTTAAACAATTACAAATTTTATCAAGTCTTCATTTCTCTTAAAGTCAGGTAAGAGAGGACTGCCAAGTCCAATAAGATTTACAAGGGCTAGTTCCCCTTAGCAGTGTCAGCAAAAAAAAAAAACAACAGAAGACATAACAATAAAATACAAACATACATAGAGCTTTTGTCACTACAGCTTTCAAAATCAGATTTAACAATCCACCTTTTAAAAAAATCAGCCATAAATGCCATTTATCCGTGTGTTGATTGCTTTGATTTGACCCATAAGCTATCTACTTTAAACCTTGACATCTCAGCCACAGATCCATCCATATTTCTTCTTTTTCATATCACTTGGATTTTGTTCATAGGCTTTCCTGTGTCTATACAACAATATTTCTCCTTGGTCACTGTCGTGTAGCAACATTGGAGAAACACAGTAACGACTGAATTTTATGTATAAAGGGGAGAAAATAAAACTTATAGAGATATGAGTTTTTTAAATTCCACACTGTTTCAATCCCTAAGAACAACAGGAATTACAGCTTGGCCTCCACTACTCAGGTAAATATCATTAGCTGAATATCCTTGGAAAATCTCTGGCAATCCTTCATCTGCAACCCCTGTTTATTAGCGTGAAGAAGCTTCCCAGTCCAGCAACATCTAAATTTCTGTACTATTTATCCTCCCAAGTCATCTGCTAATTGAAAAATATGCTATTTAATCTCTAACGTTTCTAAACACGAGCTGACCCCTCTCCCATTTCACGAAACCACAGAAATAATATAATTTTATTAAACTGACAAATGTTGGACTTGGACATAACCAAAGAAACTAACATTAATTCCAAGAACCCTCTTCCTTCTATTCAAGGAAATCCTCACAAGCCCTCTCCCGCCCCACCACCTTTTCCCACAACCAGGAGCAGGTCGTATCACTTTTCTTGTAAAAAGCACAGCTGTGCTTATGAATCCTGTCTCCCTTGTCCTTTACCAGTGAGTAACTACGTGGGGGATGTTCAACCATGGTGAATCTCTCCTGACTTCATTTTTCACCAAACGTGTGCCCCATCTTCTAGATGCTTATCTGCATCATACGGGGAAAATAGGTGTATTACAGACTTAGTGGTGGTAGAGGAAAAGCACAGCGTACGTTCGGGTGTGCCCCAGCCTGATGAAGATAGGGAGCGGCTGGGCAAAGAACCAGAGGAATGAAGAGAAGAGGTCATTCTCCCCGCCCCTTGAAAGGAAGTAGGGTTGGTAGAACGGGCTCCCGGGAGGAACTGAACCTGGAAATGGGGGCTGCTCAACCATGACGAGGATACCAAGGGAGGGGCTGTGAGAGGTGATAAGGCAGAAACACCCAAAACAGGTCTTCACCGGGACCCTATCTGAAACACGCTCCAGAGAAGGAAGCCCCCATGCACGGGCCCGGGCCTACCTCGCCCTGCCTCCCCGCGCCCTGACCAGGCCGAGGCCCCCGGGGCTCAGACGTCGTCGGGCCTTACCTTGGCTGCAGTCTTTGCCGCGGAAGCCGGTTCGCGAGCAGTCACACACCGCCTGGTCGTCCACTACGGAGCACACGCCTCCGTTGAGGCACACCCCGCCCTCGCCCTCCTCGCCAGCCTCGCACGGGCTCCCGCCGCCGCTGTTAGGCGGCTCGTCGTCCAGCTTCACCTCGCCGCTGTCCACCGGCAGGGCCTGCGAGGAGTTGACCCGCACGTCGCGAATCCACCCTTTGAAGGGCTCTCGCTCCCGCACGGAGGCCAGCGTGAGCTTGAGCGCCGCGGCGCGCAGTTCCGGTGGCAGCCCCCCGACGAAGAGGCCGCTGAACACTGTCATGTCCCGGCGCTTGGACTTGACCTCCACCCACTTGGCCTCCACCTGGTCGATGAAGAGCGTGGTGTTGCGGAACTGACGTCGGATACGCACGCTGTGCCACGCGCCGTCGTTGACCGGGGTGTCGGCCAGGAGCGTGGCGGGCTCGGCGCAGAAGATGGAGAAGCTGAGCTGCAGGCGGCCGCCGCGCGTCAGGATGAGCTCCAGGAAGTCGCAGAAGCCCTCATCGTCGAAGTAGAGCACTAGGCCCCGGGCGCTGCGCGTCTTGAGCTGGAAGCTCATCTCGCTCTCGCAGCAGGCGTTCCACTTGGGGAAGCGCGTCCACTGGCCCTCAGCGCCCGGGAACTCCAGCCCGCTGCCCAGCTCTGCCCAGCAGCCCAGGAGCAGCAGCGAGAGGCACACGAGAAAGCAGCCCCCGCGCTGGAGAAGCGCCGTCCCCATGCTCGGGGCTGGGGTGCGGCGGGGGGGTGCCGGGGCCGACAGGGTCAAAATGGTCCTGGACACCGTGATGCAGAAATAGGGATCCGGAAATAAGTCGGGTAAGGGGAGGGGCAGGAGTGGGAGGGATGCACCCTCCTTTATCTAGCTCTTTTTTTCTTCTTCTTCTTCCAGCAACCCCTCCCTCTCTCCCTATAGTCCCCTCCCAACTGGAAAACGTAGACCCCAGTAGTACAGGGCAGCCACAGAACTTCCAGACCAAAGGGAGGATACACTTTGGAAGCAACGCTCTGGAAAAGGTGTCAACAGAACGTCAAGGGCAATCACGCATCCATTTGTCGGTGGTGTCAACAGATGCTTCACTCTTCAAATACCATCATCTGCCAGGTACCATCAGTGGTACCAGGCAAAAGGGAAGCAGTTCGAGTCACACTTTCCAGGCAATTACAAGAAGCCAGCAATGAACCAGGGTCCTTGAATGCTTGGTAATGCCTCAAGTGTTTCTCCTCCAGATGTAGTGTCCCAAACCAGAAGGGAGAAAGGGGTCCCTTGCCTCTTTAAGGCACCACTTATCAACCCCAGAGGAGCTTCAAAGGCCTGCTTCTTCTGTCATATCATGGACTTCCAGTACCACTGTAGCCAAAGCAGAATTCCTTGCACACGGCGGCCTCACAGGCTGGGTTTTACTTCTCTTTGTCCCTCCCCAACAGTAGGGTTCAAACACAGACGCTGTGAAATAGCCAGAAGCTGTTAGATGTGGAAATCACAACAACTCCTCTTCTTTCCTCTCCGCCTCTGCAAGGCCAAGCTAAGATGCCAGCATATCAATTGGTTGTGTGTCGGTGATGCATTTTGATTTTATTTTGTCTTTTTATAAGGACCCAGAAATCTGCAGAGAATGAAAATAAAAATTAAGTTCTAAAGTCTGTTAGAGTATCATATAATCATTATTCAGCCCAGAAACCAGGTATATAACTAGTGCTGTTAGGAAGTCAGAGTTAACCTTATTGGAAGGAGCTTATTTGTCCTGATCTACAAGTAAGAACTAATGTCTCCTAATAATTAATATCACACTCTTACAATCAGCCATTACACCCTTGTAGTTTATTATAACTGTTAATAGGTAACCCTCCCAGGTTTGTATAGAGATTCGGTTAATGTTGTCTTTTACAATTTCTGAGAAAGTTTAATTTTTAAAATATAGGAGAAGGAGAGGGAAAAAAAGGCTCTGTTAGGGATTTCTGCTTGTATTGTGCACTGGTTACATGGACAATAAAAATACAACCTATTTAAATCTCAGTTAATAGCTGATTTTACAACAGGCAGAGCACATCAAAATGTTGACTGGAAGCTGCCAGCATGGATTTGTATAGCATTCCTACCATTTTATTTTTCTCAGAGAGAGAAGGAATATTGATAGTTTCTTGGGCATCTCTCTTAAATTTCAACCAAGTATTTTCTTCCTTTTTATTAAAGGAATAATCCGTTATAGGAGAAAACTTCCCACTGGAGTCAGATGTCTATTTTTAGCAGCATTTGTGTCTCAGCTGCCATAATATTAACTCCTCTAAAGATGGGTGAAGTATTTAATATTTTGCCTAACAGTGTAGTGATCTTAACTCCTCTTCAAGTCCTTTCTGGCTGTCAGCTCTTAGAATTTGTGTGGTTAAAACAGCAGCTGGCATGTGTGTCACCTTAGCTGCTGTGGTTCCAGGATGCTCGAATTTAAAATCATATCTTTGAATTACTCACGGTACTATTAAATCACCTCTCTTTATTCAACTCTAACCTGACAGGTTTTTGTAATGGTATAGAAATCATAAATAGTGAATTGTTTTTAAGGCTTTTTTTTTTTTTTTACCAAAAAATTACTCTCACATTTTGACAAAAAACAATCACAAATGTGTCATCTGGTCATGTCAAGAAAACACATGTATTTCCCTCACCACTTCCCACTATCTCCTCCCACCACATACACACACACACACACACACACACACACACACACACACGCACGCACACACAAACCAATTTATTGCCTAGACACAGAAGCTCACTAGCCAATTAACACTTTTTTTTTCCTACAAGCTGAAACTAGCAGTAATTTATGGCACTGCATTGTGCTGCCGCTCCTCCATGGAGGGAGCTGAGAGCATTTCTCTTCAGTACAGAGCAATCCCTACAGGTGTCAGCTGAGAGCCACCAAGCTAGGGGATCCCACTTCAAGTTCCTCCCCAGATGAAATTGATGACTGGTTCTCTCTCTTTCAACACACACACAACACACTACACACACACACACACACACACACACACACTGCCCACTAGCAAAGGGAAATAAAGATCTCGGTTGCTTATTTATTATGGCTGATACATTCCACACCATCAGCAATCAGCAGCCATATCTTGTCTACTCCCATGCTAAGCCCAAAAAAAGTGCTCTTAAAAATCATTCTAAGATAGCATACTATTCAATATGCTTTGATTTTTTAACTGGACTCAGAAATCTGAAATTTTCAGTCATTGTGAAATAAATCTGGAATTTCAAGATCAAGAGTAGTGCTTTGAAACCATCCACAAGCTCATGTGTTAGAAAACCATTTTTTTTTGTAAGTCAGTTGGAGCCAATTATTTTATTAACTTATAGTACATAGATCACAAAACCTTTCATTACACCTCTCTCCTGCCCTCCTCCACTGATGCATACCTAGACAATTTTTTATGGAATGTAAGAGAAGGGGAAAAACATATATATTCTTACCACAGTGGAGGTCAACTGACTCTCCCAGTTCTTAGAGGAAGCTCATTGTGTGTGAGAGAGTATCTGTATTTATATGGAGAAAAGGATTCTCTCTAGGTGCCCAGAAAACCTAGTGAGTTCACAAATTAGAGGATAAAATAAAAGGATCTGAAAAACAACCTCACTGCAGCCAAAGGAAGAAGCACTCTAATTCAGAAGCAGACTAACAGCCTCATTAATCTTTTCTTTCATTTCTAGAATCAAATTCATTCCCAAGCCACTGGAAGGATCGATATAGTATGGTCATCGGCTGTAGTTGCATTTATTTTAATATGTTTACGGTAACACACACCACACACACGCACACCTTTCCATGCACCTTTCAATAAACCATAGTAAAGAACCTGAAATCTTTGAATTTTTAGAAGTGCCTATCTTTTCCCCCTGGCTTTTGCAAAGTCCCTCAATACCAATGCACACCCAAAATTCTCCCTGGCTTTCCCGCCCAGTCTCTAAGCTCCATCTCTAATACCAGTGCAGTGTCTTAGAGCCTGGAGTCAACTGCACAAATTAAGGCTAGGCACAGCATGGAGCTGATGGGGAAAGGAAAGAAAGATGTAGCTATAGATGTATCTTATTGCTTTGGTTTCTAACTTGCCCATTTTCTTTTTTTTGCTAATAAATCACTGCATTCAGTCTTTAAGTTACTACCCCAGTTCCACTGTCTCATCTATTTAAAAAGCTTCATGCAAAACAACCAAGATCTATACTCCTCCACCCTCCCACCACCCATCCTTCCCTGTGCATTTGTGGCGGATGCTGGCTCGGTTACAATGGGGAAAGATATCCTTCTCGAGCTAGCCTCGCCCCATCCCCTCCTCCCAACACAAATTGAGCTTCTTTACCTGCCCGGTTATTCCCCCTTAGCTCGAGCCAGAGCTTGAGGCATGCATCGGTCAAAGCGAATTTCCTGAGGTCTGTGCAGAAGGCGACTGCTGCTGCCTTTTCAGAGGCGTCAGGCTTGAGCGTCTATCTCCAGGAGTGCGGGAGGGAAGAACAGGCAAAGGAGGGGAGTAGAAGGGGGAGGAGAGGGAAAGAGCTGGGAAGGAGGAGGCGGTCGTGGAGCCCGAGAAGGCTGGGTTACGTGACGCCGGGTGCTGTCCTTCCGAAAGAGAAGGGCGGAGCTGAGCTCTCCGCAGTACCATGGAGAGCGGCGGGCCGTCCTCAGGCTGGGATACTGGTGGGCGCAGCCCTGGGGCGCAGCCCCTCCCGGTCGGGATGCTGCGCAGCGAGGTGTGTTTCTGCCTTTGCTTCGTCCCCTTGCTGTGGGAGCCCGCTCCTGGGGGCGGGGACCTAACGCAAGTGCTTCTAACTTGTCACCACCCACCCTCCCCCACGGGGTGGTGGTTGGGGGAGAGAGAGAGAGGAACCAGAGAGCCACGTAGCCTACTGAGCATGCCCAGGCCCCTGCTAGACCCACGGAAAGCTGTGTGGAGATTCCACTTCTCCGGGGTTTAGTCGTGATTGGGAGAGGGTATCTGAGAGTGTTCTAGGGCCAAAAGGAAGGGGCCAAGGAGTCGGTGATTAAGATGAGCTCTGGCTTTACTTGCGCACTTAGATCTCCTGCTTGGAACCCTTGAAAAGCTACAGCTCTTCGCGGAATGCAGGGACAGGCAAGATTCACACAGTCGCTGGCATTCCCCCAGATCCACCGTCCCTGCCCCACCCCTTACTGTGGCCCTGGGCTGAGTGATCACTTCAGATTTTCACGATCTGCCTAAGCTGTGCCGAAAAGATGTGAAAGGGACCCATCTGTGCTGTTCCCTGGCCATGGGCATCCTGAGCTGAACCAACTTCTGTAGCTGTTTAACTCTTCCCTCTGTCTCCTCCTTTTTGGTAAAGCCTGGAGGAAGTGAAACTTGATGCAAGGCTCTAACCATATCACTGGGCATGCCTAGTAGGCATTGCTGAGTTTGATGACAAAGGCGTTAAATCTAAGGGAGCTTGCAGAATAGGTGGTAGAGAGGTCTGAAGTGTGTGGCTAAATTATAGTTTGAGTCCTATGGACATTTAAATTCCTAACCCTATTACATTCCTAGCCTGGGTTAGTTTTAGAGCAGAAAAAGCAGACATATTGATCTCAACATCACAAAACTAACAGCTTCAGCCTCAAATGCTATAAGGTAAGACTATCTTCTGCCTCTAGGCCCTATAAGGCAAAATGGTAAAAACTAGACAAATTCAGGAGTACTGAAATAATAATATACATTCCAAATGCAATATTCATTTCCTGCCAAAGAAACCAGAACTCAATTCCTTTTGATAAACCTATTTCTACTTTCACTACTTTTGTAAAAGAGTCTAAATAACTTGGAGACAGGAACAAATTTTATTATTTTTATTGGCTTCAGTAAGACACTGTGGTCAAGTAATTAAACGTGTGGGAACTAGAATCAGGTTGTCTGGGCTTGAATTTCATCTCTGCCATTTATCAGCTATGACCTTGGGTAAGATGCTTAACCTTACAATACCTCAGTCACCTCATCTGTTAAATTGGATATATTAGCAGCTCCCAATTCATCTGTTTGTTGTTGTGGAGATTAAATTAATAAACGGACATAAAATATTTTAGAATTGAGTGAATACTAGCTTTTTTCTATTAATTCCAAGCCCATTCTGTTCTGTTTGACCCAATGGAAGTCACTTCTCTGAAATCCAGATTCCCTGACTGTGAAGTAGGGGTACTGGTGAGTACCAACTTATTTTACAGGATTACTTTGGGGATGTAATGAAATAATAACCATTAACGTTTTAAAAAACAAAAATGAAATTTTAAATAATGTAAAGCTAAGTCTCAGAAAAATACCTTATCTAAGGTTAACCAGTCATTACGTGAATTTGGATCACAAGAATACTCTACTTAATTCAGGGCCTTTATAAATTTTTCCTACCATTTGCCAACAGGTTCTAGAGCAAATAGCAGATAAGGTATGCCCACACGTGTCTATTATAGAGGTAAAGCTTACTGAAAAGTAAGTAGAAGGGACAGTGAATTTTTAAGAATTGAATCTAGAAATGTTCCATGATGCCCTTAATATCTGTGTGTACATTCATCAGTGAATCTTATGGTGATAGCAGAAGATTTCTAGAGGCTCTCTTAAGAGTCAAACCCTTTTTTTTTTTTTTTTTTTTTTTGCGGTACGCGGGCCTCTCACTGTTGTGGTCTCTCCCGTTGCGGAGCACAGGCTCGGGATGCGCCGGCTCAGCGGCCATGGCTCACGGGCCCAGCCGCTCCGCGGCATGTGGGATCTTCCCGGACCGGGGCACTAACCCGTGTCCCCTGCATCGGCAGGTGGGCTCTCAACCACTGCACCACCAGGGAAGCCCTCAAACCCTGCCTTTTACCTGGACTCTTAAAACCCATTGATTGCCACCAGTGTATATGACCTGATTAATTATTTAGTTTCTTTAATTTTACGTTTGTGAATTTGGATCTTCAGTTGGGCCACAACGTTTCCACTGGATCATGGTTTTCCTTGGGGTGTCTTCTGTGGGTTTCTAATTCAAAGACATGTTACAATTCTTATTCTTCACGCATAAGTTTTAAAACAAAAAGTCCTCCGTGCCCACCCCTTACTCTCTCTCACACACACACACACACAAATCTAAACTGAGGGACTAGATTATATGTTGCAGTAATCCCCTTTGCAGTTATCAGGTTTAAAGTAACTACTGTATCTAGTCTAAGAAACATGGACAGATATAGATCTCTTTATTTCAGTAAATATGCAGAGGGAAAACTATCAATATGTGTTTAGAATGGAAAAAATATCACAACATAATTTAGTGATAAAAGCTCTTTATTTTAAAGTATGACTTGCTGTGCTGTTTCTAAACAAATTGTTTCAACTCTCTGAGCACTAGTTTCCTCATCAGTAAAATGAGGATAAGGGCACCTCACTTTATAAGATCTGGTGAGGATAATGCCAATATCTAATTTTGAGTGTCTGCTCCATGTGAAACAGTGCTCCAGTGCTTTACTTACATTAACTTAGTTTATCCCTCACAGGAACCCTATAAAATAGAGTCTAGGATTTCACTCATTTTACCAATGAGAAAAGTGAAGCACAGAGAGGTTAACCAAGACAGTCAAGGTCACACCTAGCAATATAAGAGCAAGGAAGGATTCAGACTCAAGACTGTGATCTTAAACACCTGCTACACTGTCTCTCATCAAATGATCAAATATGCCTAGCACACTTCTTGGCACAATGCAGATGCTAATAAATGTTAATTCCCCTTTTAAGAGTTTCATCAAGAGGAATTCAGGAAACTAAACAGTCAACTTTGGAATGTGGTAATGTCTTTCCCTAATGACAATACTATATGAAATATCTTAATGAAAACCGGTGAGGTGTTCTTAATATTACTATCATTATTTTTGTTTGTGGGTAAGATGTGAAAGGATTCCTACTGATATGAATTTGAGGCAATTTAACACTTGTCAGAAGAATCTAGTATTTTTTTTTTTTTTTTTTTAGGAAGTGGAAACTAGGATTAATTCCTCTGCAATGGACCTTAGGGCATCTACCAATTTTAGGCTACAGTAGTGTGTGAAGAATTATAACTCCTGTCCCTTGCTACTACTCAGAACAAATGAGATAATTGTGAAATCAAGGTGTTTATGATTATGTCTGATTGGGAGAATTTCTTACAACCCAAATATGGAAACATAAATAATATCTCATGCCATAAACTGGTTAACTTTTTGCAACAATGAAAATGGAAATGCATGATCATCATAAACAAATACATTTCCATAGGGTATTAAATATTAATGAGCATTCTAACTTGGAAACTTGCTCTACACTAAAAATAAATGAAACTAAGTGATAAGATTTTTTTGACTGAGAAATGAATACAGAGACACTCTGTGTTTATTACTGCAATCATAGCTTGTGCTTTAACATTAGGAAATCAGTGTAAACACCTACTTTCTCAATTAACATTAGGCAAAGTGGAGGCTTTGAGATACCCATGAATTCCAAGACTGATATCAATTTGGAAGGGTGTTTTAACTTTACAGATATGTGATTGAGAAGAAATGCATGGTAATAATGAAGGAATATATGAGTTGATATGTATTAAATAATTTTCCACTAAAGATGGTAGATAATTTAAAAGAGCAAGAAGATTTATCATTTTGAGGGATTTTCTATTTGCTGTGATTCAAGTGATCAAAATGAAGCCATTTTTTCTACTGAAATATGGTATCACTAGGGAGAGATTAAATTACATGATATTCTCAACTAAATTTCAGATTAATAGTGAATTCCTCTAACCAATTACAGTATCACTGTTGCATAACTGGAATGCTATTGTTTAGTTTACAACTTATTTATTTTAATAATATATACAATCCTTGTAACTTGGTTTGTGGTTAAATGTCTCTAGCTGGTTTCCTTTGTATGAACCAATATGAGTTTCTCATGAACAAAAGTTGATGAATAGTTCTTAAACATGCTGCTATGTAAACCTCATTTTCAACACAGCAACTAGAGGAATTTTTAAATGCAAGGAAATGCAATAAGTCTGGGTCTTTGGACTCAGCTATAGACTGGAACAAACATACTGGAACTTTCATGTAGAAAAATCCCAATAATTTCTCATGAAGTTTACTAAGTTACTTTCAGGAGAAATAAGCAAACTCAGCATGTTAAATACTTTTGTACTACTTGAAAAAATCTTCAGCATAGTAAAATTAGGCTACTTTCACATGAGTATATAATTTTTCAGTAATCAGAAGATAGACTGTGAATTTTTTAATGCTACAAATTATTTGAATAATGATAATTATTAAGGTATCAAGCTACAGTAGAGAAAGCACATGGATAGGTACTTGAGAATAGTAGTTAAGTTCTAATCAGTGCACCTGCTAGAGAGGTTTCAATGTGCGACCACTGCAGTGTGTTTGATGAGCAGTGTTCTTAAATCTAGGGCACCACTAACACCTGTGTATGTTCTGTCATGCCTACCCCCAAACTTC